GCCGCCCAGCAGGCTATCAATTGCCGGCAGTTCAGGTGTCCCTCCCCCCACTGCCCTGTGCTGCTCCTGTCCTCTGCCTTGGAGCCTCCTGCTTGCTGTGCAGGGGGTGGGGGGAAAGAGGGGTGCTGATATCAGGGTGTCCCCGCCTGCCACTCATCTCCACAGAGCATGGGCAGGACAGGTCAGGACGCAGGAAGCTGCAGCTGCTGTCTCAACTTGCTGATCTACTTAAAAAGGCAGTGTACTTAGAGTGGGGTCAGCGTACTTAAAGGGGCAATGTGTGTCTCTCTCTCACACACACACATGCCCCTCCCCGCCCCTCGGAAAGAGGAGGGAGTGGTGTGCTCAGTGGGATAGCGTTAGGGTGACCAGATGTTCCGATAAAATCGTGACTGTCGCGATATTTAACCCTTTGTCCTGTGTCCCGATCAATGTACGATCAGGACACCATTTTCCCGATATTCAGGTAAGGAGGCGAGCGGGAGGGAGGCGCTGACCCCATGGGTGCTCCCCACCCACAGGGAAAAATTGCAGCCAAACTCCCCCCTTCTCGCCTCCTCCTCCCCCTCCTCCCCCCAGCGCACCATGTCCCCACTCCTCCCCCCCTCCAGTGCTTCCTGTCGCCTAACAGCTGTTTGGCGGTGCTTAGCGCTTTCCAGGAGGGAGGGGAGAGGAGTGGGTACATGGCGCGCTCAGGGGAGGAGGCGCAGAAGAGGCAGGGCAGGGGCGGGGACTTGGGGGAGGGGGTGGAATGGGGGCAGAGCGAGGGCGGTGCAGGGGTGGGAAGAGGTGGGGGGTGGGTGAGCACCCACCCGGCAGAGGGGAAGTCAGCGCCATAGGAGTGAGTGGCAGGCGGGGGGGGGGTGAAGAGGTGAGTGAGCGAGCGGGTGGGGAGGTGAGCGGTGGGTGGGGGACTGAGGAGCGACGCAGCAAGCCAGTGGCAGGCCGGGGGATGAGGAAGGGCACGGTGGGGTGGCTGAGTGGGGAGGGGCAGGACCTGGGGCAGAGCCTGGGAGGAGCAGGGGTGGACTGTGGGTGGGGCTGATGGCACCCTAATGTGTCCCAATATTTTAGTGTGATGATCTGGTAACCCTAGATAGCGTGGCTTCATCACTGTTCGTTTCCGCAGGGAATGTTTGTAGCCACTGCCATGTCTCTGTTGTATATCCTCTCTCCATTCGTGCTGCCTTGTAGGGTGTGAGGCTACATTAACAACAATGTGTTAACCTTTGAGGGCTCAGCCAAGTGCTAGTTCATCATTTAGCAGCAAAAACAACGAGGAGTCCTTGTGGCACCTTAGAGACTAACACATTTATTTGGGCATAAGCTTTCGTGGACTAAAACCCACTTCATCAGCTGCAAGGCATTCCCTGGGAAATATCCCACCCTCTGATGCCACCACCTCAACCAAACTTCACAATCATCATCGCTGTGTACAGTATTAAATGGTTTGTTTAAAACTCTGTGTGTGTGTGTCTGGTGAAAAAAATTTCCCTGGAACCTAACCCCCTCATTTACGTTAATTCTTATGGGGAAATTGGATTAACATCGTTTTGCTTACAGTAGCATTTTTCAGGAACATAACTACAACATGAAGCGAGGAGTTACTGTATATCTGAAACTGTGCTGTTTATGCTCAGGAGGCTTCTAGAACATCGCAAACACATCAGAGTATAAATGTTCTCACGTTCACCCTTTTCCATCTGCCTACATGTCCAATAAACATCTCTCCTACACTTCAAGTGGAAATTTAGGAAACTGAGCAATGTATGAGAAGAAATTTTGGATTGCTTGAATCCAGATCAAATAGCTCTTGCTGAAAAGTGTAATTCTGAAGTTAGTTGGCTTGAAAGCATTAGCTTCTAAACTATCCTTAGAAATAGATAGAAGCCAGTGGTATGTTTCAGAGGGAAACATGTTGGTATTTGTTTCATAAGCATAATAATTCTGTTCCATGCAGGCATATAGATACACTCTCAAACAAAAGTGCTGACATATGTTATCTTCCTACATCTCCTTTTCCTTAGTTATCTGGCTCACAACACAAAACATCAAAACGGCTCCTGATATTGTGAGAAGTTGAGTGCCCTCAATGCCCATTGACAACATTCTACATCCTGCTCATTCTGACCCTAAGTGCATGTTGTGTCTGCAAAATATGGAGGTGGGAACAAAGTATTATTTGCCTGCAAACAGTTGAGTGTTTGCATAATTACCTGTTTGTTCCTGCACATGTGTATGTTGCTGGCATAATATATATTGTTGAAAACTCTCTCCAGAATAGGGAATATAAAGCGACCAAGAACAATCACATTGGCATCACCAGGAACAGCATCAGCAATAACGATTAGTGTGGCTATGGCATGTGAGATAGCATCAGTACATACAGCTTGGAAACTTTTTTGCTATATTGCTTTCTGTCCCTGTGTAACCAGAACATGTTTTCAGTACTGCTGGTTGCTTTTATTGGACAGATAAGGCCATTCATTGCAGTCACTGATAAACATCTTTATCTTTTCAAAGCATAAATTGGAACGGGCCCACTATCTGTCCTTAAACATTCTTCAAAGAAAGCTGATGACCAAGATGGTAATGACTATAACTAAATGTACTAATCTCTCTTCCTCTTTCTGTGAAACTAAATTTGGATCCTGGCTGGAACACAAGCACGTACAAGCAGAAATATGATCTGTTTGTGAAACAGGAGTATCTATATTTTGCTTACTACTAAAAGTAATGGAACTCTCAGAGCCGGCTCCAGGCATCAGCTTGCCAAGCAGGTGCTTGGGGCGGCCACTCCGGAGAGAGGCGGCACGTCCAGCGGACGGTCCCTCACTCCCGCTTGGAGCGAAGGACCTCCCGCCGAATTGCCGCCACAGATCGCGATCGCGGGTTTTTTTGTTTTGTTTTTAGTTGTTTTTTGCGCCGCTTGGGGCGGCAAAAGCCCTGGAACCGGCCCTAGGAAGTCTCATAATCTCCTTCCCAGGGCACTCTATTAATTTTCCACTGTCATCATTCCAGGCTACCTGCTGTGCCCCCTTGCAGGCAGACATGGGGTTGCAGGTGAGCCCTTGGTTGATTTTCCCCTCACCCAGGGTATCAACAAGGCCAAATAGATCATAAGGTTAACAGAAAAGCCAACAGAGGACATGAACAAAACTTTCACTTCAACATCTCATATGGGATACTGGGTCATTCCTGGTCTACCCATCCCCACACCTGAGCTCGTGCTCTCTCTACCCAGGCACTTCCCTCTGGGGATCTCTCGGTTCCAGTCTCTGCATCTGGTGTTAGGCCTCTTACCTCACTGGAGTAAGATCCCTCTCTGAAGTCAGAGGTCCATCCACAGCGACTCTTCTCCAGGGACAGCAGGTGATACTTTCCAGGTCAGACTTCTGGCCATTGTCAAGGAGACTCCTGACTGAGACCAGGTCCCCTTGCATGCTGGCTGACTGAAGTCCTCCATGTAGGAGGCTCCCCGCTCTAGGAGCACCTCTTATAGATTCAATATTTTGGTGGGTTCCCCAGAGAGCTCACCCTCTAGGCTCAGTTTCTCCTTGGTGCTCCTCCTCCTAAGAGCTTCCTGTTGCCCCTTGGAGAATTCTCTTTTAACTGAGTTTAGGTAACCTTTATTTACTAATCAGCCACCTGGGCCAGTTATGGGAAGACTAGGACCTAGCTCCCCATAAAGAACAGCTACCATACCTAGAGTGTGGACTATTTGCTATTTAATAACCACTTTTATTATAGAGATTAGAGGTTTAGCATCGAGGTTTGTCACAAGATGTAAAAAGTCTAGTTAATAAAAGTTATTGCAGTCCAAGAAAATTCAAGTGAAAAACCCATCTTTCTTTAAAATGGATCTTGCACAACATTGGAATTTTCTGAAAGGTGCTAAAGCACTTTAGACTCCCAGACCCACTGTAAGAAGGTCTCTAATTATTTATTTCTCTCATACATAACATGTAATAATTCCATCACACATGATCTCTCAAGGTTTATTCAGCTTCTAGCCCATGAATGATAAAGAGGAAGAGTATATAAACAAAGGATTATATTATCAGAGATCTTGCTTAGTCATAATGACCGTTCCTCAATCAGACAATGTAAGAGAGGCAAAAAGCCCGCTGAGGTAAGTCCCCTAGACGCTCAACAAGGATTCCTTTCGATTCACCTGACAGAGTGTCTATTTGTGGACTATGTGGTGTCTGTATTAGGTGTTAATTGTGATATATGCAGGATTCAAACTAAGTAAGTCTACCTATTGTATAATAATGCCTCTTGGTGCATGGGTAGCATATACAGCCTAAATCGCTTTCTAGGAGGCTGGATCTCTAGTGAGCAGGGACGGTTCTAAGAATGGGCGAGCAGGGCTGTGGCCCTGGGTGCCAGCTTCTAGGAAGTGCTGTACCACTGCACTACTCTGCCTTTTAAAAATACATTTTAGGCTTGACTGCTGCAGGATGGGGCAGAGAAAACATTTTCTACCATGGCTGGCAAAACAATTAGGGCCACTCCTGCTCATAAGTGCTCTGAGGGCAGGTTGACTTCCACACCGACCTGCATACCCCATGCCCATGAGAGACTGGGAATATAGCAGCAAATATTGCACAGGGCTAATGTCTATACACTGTACTCCACTTTCTACTTACAAAGCAGTTTTACACTTTATTATATTCCATTTTACAACTTTACAGACTACCATTACAATTTCAACTCATACTTAAGCAATTCAGTACATACTTTGATAAATGCCTTTCAGCGTACTGTATATATTTAACTAAAAAAGTACAAAACAAGCACAGTGGTGTAATTGTCCGGGCACTTTCAATGTTGCTCAGCAAAATAAGCGAGAACCCTGTTTGAAAGCATGTTAATTTTTTGGGAAAAAAATACTGAATGTATACTAGTCACTCATTTGAATTTTAACATCCTTTGCACAGCTCCAAGTATTCCTGAGAAATATCTGTAAAGTGTCACTTTTACTTGTAAATCTCTTTATATTTCGGCAGTGGATCTAAGTGAACCATAACCTCCGTCACCAGATGTCCCACTGATTGCGCAAAAAACGTGTAAGGAGTCGTGCATCCAGGGAGAATGCATAGTATCTTCTTGGTACATCTAAACAAAAACAAGGTAGTAATTAAGTCACGTTTCAACTCATTATTCACTCATGATATCACTATTTTAAAAGATACACAAAGCAAAAGTGGCATAGCATTACCCAATTTTGTCTTCAAAGCTGGGTTGCAAAGGCAGCATAACAAAGAAATGAGAAAGAATGGTTATTCAGTAACTACAGTATGATACATATATATTATTAGGTAGATTTCAGAAGAAGAGACTGTTCAGCTTAAAGACAGGCAAGACTCTCTCTAAGAATTCCTTACTGCTATACCTGTATATTTTAACAATAGCTTAGAACAAATGTGATTTAGTTATTTAGTTGTTCAACCAAAATCAGTATTGTATAGTATGATCTGATGACCTAAACACATGACCTAGAAATCAAACTTCATTATACTGCAGCATTTACTTAAAAATGTACAAAATGAAACAGAGACACAGCTCCAGAAACTCATATTTCTCAGTCTGATTTCAGTAGATTTAGCTTTATTGCCTTGCACACTTCTCTAGTTTAGAAAATAAACCTAAATTCTGTGATGCAAATGTCAGGATGAGCGGTAAATACAAATACAGATAGGAACCCACTTGGTTGTACAACCTGATGGTAGAAAGATTCTAGGTGCTCAGATCCCATTTAAATAGGTGGGAGTTCTGAGCCTTCCCCACAGAAGCAAATTGACCCTTTGCTGACAATGGATGTCAGTGCAGGGTGGTGAATATAGCATAGTTGAAGGCATAGAGATGAAGAGACTGGTTTTGGTACTCTCTTAGAGAGCATGGCTGTAGAGCTGGTCAATAACGGATTTACTGGCAATTTTGAAAAAAGTCAAAAAAATTGTTTTGGGTTAGAGTGAAAATGAAAATTTTCAGAGAATTCAAAAGTAAAAATTTGTTTAGAGTTGAAGAAAATGTTTTGTTTAGATTGTGAGCAATTTTTTGAATTTTAAAAATATAATTAAAGGAAGATTCTGAATGAAAAGTCTGTTTCAAACCAAAAAAATAAAACCCCTTTCCCGCCCTAAAAAACAATTTGGCAAAATCAACACCAATTCATAAATGTTTGTGTCATCAATCTTGCATTTATTGCCAAAAAAGTCAGGGCACGGTGGGAATTACAACATACTACCTATCTGCTGTACCTTGATTTCAAAGAGCTCCTCCTGGGGTAGGTTACTGGGGGCTTAGTGTACATTCTGTGGAGCACTGGTAAGCCAAAGGAATTACTCTGGATTTACACCGATGGAACTGAGCTCAGAATCTGGCCCATTTTGGGCCATCTAGCACAGTGTTTCTTTCTGTGGTTCTCTGTGTCTTCCAATTGCAGTTTCCCATCTACTTTTGCTTCTACCCTTCTCTTCCCCATCTCTCTCTCTTGCAGCTTCCCGTCCCTTCACTATCTTAAGTAACCTGAAAGTGGGCCTCAGTGGGGCATCTAGTGGGTTGCCCTTCTCCCTCCCATATCAAAATAGCATACAATATTTGTTTGTTGGCTGATTTTTTAAAAACATATAGCAAACAATTTTTTTAAAATTTAATTGGGCCTCTAAACTAACCTAATTTCCTCCTCTGTGTTTAACAAGGAACTTTGCAGAAGAGTTTCATTATGGTAAAACTGGTAAAGATGTTTTGTTGCTATTAAATGCACAAAAGATTCAAAGCCAACCATTATCTACATGTAATAAGTAAGACAAACATGAAGATCAGTTTTGTCTATATGAAGTCTTGGGCTATTCATTCTATACAATGCAAAATGTGGAACCTTCATTAATGAAAACTAATATTCTTAGCTAGCACTTAACCTGAAAACAGCAGATAATGCATGAATACGTTGTCCCATTCATCAAAGAGAACAAGATGGTGGATTTTTAAATGTGTTCAGATAATAGGGAGTATATTAACAATGCATCTCTGTTCTAAGAGCCCCCTACCCGCTGTGATGCTAAGGCGTGGTACTAGCTGATTTGTTTTCAATTTGAATATTGCAGAATTTAAAAACCCTCAAATTCTGGCAGCTGCATGTAAATTCAATAGCTTGGTCAGGCTTACTTGCCAAAAAAGAGTGGAGTAAGCAGGTGCAACTCCTGTGAACTTTTCTGGGCCAAATTCAGCAGTGAAGTAAACAGGGTAATAATATGTGGCGAAAGCACAGCAGGGGGTAGGCAGCAGAAAAAGCAACTAACTAGAAGATGTAAGATAAAGCAGACACCCCTCCCCCCCTTAATACCTTCCTCCTCCCCAACACTCCCAGGGCCAAATTCAGCCCCAGCACAAGAGAGGGGAACTCCCACTGACCTGAACCAACATTGCATCCACTTGGTTTGCAAATGCCAAATGGATGCAAGTTATACTTTGCCACTTACATACATTTTCCTATCAATTTACACAACTGTTTGTATCACCACTGAATTTGATGAAATATTTTTCAAGAGACCTGATGATGTATATGAATATAAAATGGTACAGTTATAATAGAAATGAAGGGAACTGTTTAATCAAACAAAAATCATTATTTAGTGTGTGCAGATCCTCCTTCCAGACCAGTGGTTCCCAAACTTTAACAACCTGTGAGCCCTTTCACTAAAATGTCAAGTCTCGTGAACCCCCTCCTAAAAATGAATATTTCCAGGGATTTTCTCCTTTATCTGAGTATAAATTATAAAAGCAGTGATCTTGGAAATATAAAATGTGTTTTTATGACATGCTTATTACACACTATTTATTATTTATTATTATTTATCATTACAGTATTTTTATTACATTATGAAAACGGCAACACTCTTCCACATAGGCCTGCGCACGGGGTGTGCCCAGGCACACCCTCATGCAGGGGTGGGCAAATGGCTCCACTCTCCTGGCGTGGCAACCTGAGAGGTCCGCACTCCTGGGCCAGAACGCCCGGCCGAGCGCAGCAAGCCGCCGGCCCCTCCCCGCCTTGCCCCCTCCTCTGGAGCCATGCCGCCTCGCGCACAGCGCTCTGGGGGCCGGGGCTGCGTGCTCCCATGGGGCAGCATTTGGCTCCGTGGTGAGGCAGACACGCTCCCCCCTCCCCTGGAGCTATGCCGCCGTGCGCGCAGCACTCTGGGGGCCGGGGCTGCACACTCCTGCGGGGCAGTGTTTGGCTCCTCGGGGAGGCTAGGAGCCTCATCTCATGGTAAGGGGTCTGGGGCCAGGGGAGTTGGATAAGGGGTGGGGGTAGTCAGGAGACAGGAT